TGAAACCAGGATGTAGAACAGCTAAGATCACCTCAGATGGCATTCACCTCATGACCCTGAACCCACATGGTGGAAGGAGAGAATGAACCCTGTTCCCCAAGTTATCCTCTGAGCTCCACACATGCTCCATGGTACGTGTGCTTCCATCTCTCTCTCTCTCTCTCTCTCTTTCCTCCTCCCCCCCCCAAACCAACTAACTAAATAAATGTAACATTAAGTGAAAACCAGAACATATCAGCATTCCAGAAGTCCCTGCCATCTCCTGTTCTGAAGTGCCATAGTGATATGGTGATATGCCATATCATGGTGATGTCCCATGGTGATGAGCTTTGCTGCTCGTTTCAGGGTGTAGACATTCTGTGTGTATCAATTCAGTTCCTGTGTGGATCCGCATGTGGCTTGCTTCTGGCTTTGGGCTGTTAGGAGTAGTGCAGCTACTTGCCTTAGCTAGAGTGAACACACCCCCAAGTTTCTGTCATGTGTGTCAAGGATGGGAGTTGCTGGGTCATAGGATAAGCATGTGATTGGATTTATTAGAACATGGAGCCAGCTTTCCAACTTGTACATTAATGCAGATCCCATGAGCAAAAGAATAAGACATTTTATTGTTTTCTTTTAATTATGGAAAAGAAACTTAATAACAAGGATTTAGTGAAATATTTTTATTTAAAAATAACTAAGTCCCCATACCTATTAAATAATATTTTTACTTTTAGTATTAAGAACTTTCCTGAACAGGAAAGAGTAATGAGAGATATCAGGCAGTGTTTTTGGACTTCGCTTCTGGGGCTATGCAAACTGAGGAGAATTTTTGCTACCTTGGATGGTGTTCAAATTAAGAGTTCATGAGCCAGGCATGTTGGTGCCTGCCTTTAATCTCAGCACGTGGGAGGCAGAGGCCTGTGGATCTCTGAGTTCAAGGCCAGCTTGGTCTACAGAGTGAGTTCCAGGACAGCCAGGGCTACATAGAGAAACCCTGTCTTGGGGGAGGGGGGACAGGAAAAGTTCAAATTCGGGAGTTCCTTTGGTTCTCTAGGAAGTTAGTTTAAGGGAAAGTGACAATTTAGAGTACAAAGCAGAATGGTGACCTTACCTCTTATCCCCCCACTCTCAATCCGTTACTTCAAGTAAATCATCCAAAGCACAGAATGAAGGTTCTGTCCTGTCAGCAGTACTCATTTTGTGTTCTGGGGGAGGGGGAGCACTTTCATTTTCCAAATCCTCTAATAACCAAGAAACATTTACCTTAAGGCCACTAAAATGTCATCAACGTTCCATAATTTTGAATTCTCATCTTTTTTCATATGACACACCTATCACTACTCCTCACCTCCCCCCACCCCAAAAGCAAAGTTGTGTTTTGTTTCTGCAATTTCTCATGCAGTAAAAGTACCAAAAAAAAAAAAAAAAAAAAAAAGTCACCCTGCCCAAATTCTATTTAGGATTCCTAGAACATTCTGAGCAGCAAGGGGGATAAGAATGAATGTGTTTGCTAACTCAGCTGAAAGTACTGCCTGCTCTTAATTCAGGACCTAGATTCAGGACTCTGCACTTAAGGTTTTCACCTGGAACACAGCTCCTAATTTTCATGCTGTAGTTTTCAAATCTGTAAAATGTGGTTTCGGATACCTGCTCTGCCTACACAGGCAGTTATGAAGATTCAGTGCAGTAACTGATGTGAAATTGTAAACTATAAAGATTTCAAGCTCTGGGAAGCTGACCAGGCTTTTAGAGCATGGTAGAAATCATTCTGTGTCATGTGATTTTTATACACACACAAAAGCTCTTTAAACCTTGTACCATTTGTAACTTGTGTAAGTTCTGCTGGCCTCTCCCTGAAATTCTGAACCATGTCTCCAGCATTGGACCAGGGGAAGGATGCAAGGCAAAGGCTGTATACTTTGATAGCTCTGTCACCCCAGTGCTGGGGTGGCTAGAGGGATGTACTCAACATGGAGTCCACTGGTCCCTATTGCACATATCTAGGTCTAGTTACTTTAAAGTTTTTTTTTTTTTTCTTATGGACCTAAATTATCAGGAATAGCCGTAGAGGAATGGACTGCATAAAAATATTAGCCTTATTACTGTTAATATCTCAAGCATGATAGAGACCGATGTAACTTCATGGACTGGCCCTGACACACCCTTAAAACTATTGAGCAATTATCTCCTTAAGAAAACAAGGGAAGAACACATTTGGTCATTGGTGAGTGTTGGCTTGAGCACCGTGGGTCTGGTTAGTTTCCTGGGAGTCTCCCACAGGAGAACCCCTGCTATAAGAGGAAGACAGTGAGCACATTCACTAAGATCTAGAATTAAGTTAATTTGTAATGAAAATGAGCTGAGCGTCTTTTTGAGAAGGAAATTATAGAAAAGTCTAGAATTATGGTGTGTGATGATGTTGTCTTAGACTCTAGAGAACTAGGAATTTAGGGCTTTGGGAATGGGGCTTGTAATTTCCTTCCACCTGAAGCATGCACACAACACACATACACATACACACACACACACACACTCTCTCTCTCTCTCTCTACCTGTTCCGTTCTCTCTCTAAGGAGCACATGGGATAGAATCTATGGCTCATGCTAGACAGGCATGCTCTCATTAGGCCACATTCCCTGCCCCACAATCCCCTTTCAAAGATGAGATGTGTTTTAGGATTCAGAATCCTGATGCCTCTTGATTATAAAGTAACCAGCAGTGAAGCTGGAGAAGAATTGATATGTACAAGAAACAACTGGTTAATGGATTAATGAGTTCTAGTTAGGGCTTGCTGCCAGTTAAGTTCCAGGAACATGTATCGAAGATTGGTTATACAAAACTTAACCAGCTAAGACATCCTAATGAGACACGGGGTTGGGAGTGGCAGCTCTGGAGCCACATGGCCTGGATTCAAATTCCAGCCTTGCCTTTAGTGATTTTTGGTCAACTTTTAATCCTCCAAAGCTCTTGGGTTTTTATCTTTGTTAGTACAGTTATAAAAGAAAACAAACAAACAAAACAAACAAAAAAACAGGCACTGGCGATTCCATGAACGCATTACACTATGTTTCTGTATCTAAGTATTGGGATAATAATAGTGATCGCCAGGGCTGGAAAGATGGCTCAGCAGTTAAGAGTGCTGGGGACCCACACAAGACATGAGTTCTTCTCCCTGCACTCATGCCAAGTACCTGGAAACCACCTGTGACTCCAGAGCCAGGGGATCCAACCCCTGTGTTCCAGGAACACCTGTGCTCAGGTCCACATGCCTTCACATAGGCACACATACATGCACCTAAGTAAACAGTTTAAATTATGCTATTACTAAGGTGTTTTTGTAAAACCAACTTAAGCTGGATATAGAAGAGTACTAGAGTCTGAGGCAAGAGAATTCAAGGCAGAGGTCAAGACCAGCCTGGGCCATGTGGTAAGTTCTGGTACATACAGTGAAATCCTGTCTTAAGAAACAAACGACTACCAAACAGAACACATGGAAAAAGAAATATTAGCACATATAACATGCTCAGATCTTTACTCCATAGTAAGCATTCCGTAAAAACGAACCAGTGTTGTTGTTATGAGCCCTACAAGAAGCCATGGAAACATTCCTTGACTGATAAGGTGACTCATTGTGTAAAGCTGCTTCCTGACAAGCCCGGAGCCCCAAGATTCATGCCGGGGACCTACATTGTAGGAGAGAACTAACTCCCCAAAGTTACACACACACACACACACACACACACACACACACACACACACACACGATAAATAAATAAAACAAATATAATGTAAAAGTTTTAAAAGAGAACATTCCTCTTACACGGTTATTGTGATGGAGAAAGGTGGGCGTGGCAGCATCTGCTGAATGAATGAGCAGGGCACATGGGGTAGGGTGGGAGGTGTCCTGATCGTTTATAATTATAATTTTCCAAGCTGTAATTCCACTGCTGTTCCTCTGGGTGTTTGCTCTCCCCACCCTCTGCCCCCTACCCCCTGCCAAGCCCCAGCCATGCAGCATCCCTTCATTTGCATTCTGTTCAGGTTGCACTGGGTCTTGATGAACTTGGCACTTACCTTCTCACCACAACCACACAGGTGTGTTGGGCTGTCTGGGATGCTTTCCCAGATGCTGACAAATGCTTGGCAGCAGGATAGAGAGGAGAAACAAAAATTTGGCTGACATCTTCAGAGCTGATTCCTGATTCATCTAGAGAGTTCCATGGCACCCTTAGAGCTTTAAGACCAACGATGAGGGCCCTGCTCACTCCCACCCCCTTGCTGTGGACACAATCTGGATTTTCATCTTCTAGTTTGTTACATATTCCAGTCAAGTCTCAAGTCTACAGAGATACATTTTAGCTTCAGGTGTTATGTTGAGGAGTGGGTGTGAGGTAGGCTAGGCAGGACCCTGCAGAAGAATTTGTGTGCTGATGTGCCACAGCCTGGCCCGGTGTCTTCTCTTGAGGCCATACATATTTGGCAAGTGTCTTTGTGTGTGTGTGTGTGTGTGTGTGTGTGTGTGTGTGTGTGTGTGTGTGTTGAGTAATGAATGTGATAGATAATATGGGGTAGGTACGGGCCGGATAGGTACATGAGAGAATATGGAAAGAATTCTTTTCAAAGAGTTTTATTACATTAAATGTTAGGGCCTGTAAACAATTAGAGCATTCAGGGAGTGCAGGATTTGAATGAGAAACACAACTTTGCCAGATTACGGCAGCGGGATAAAATGGCATGGGCTCCGGAAATCTGTAATTAAATGTATTTTTGAAAATGAAAAATATAGTGTAACATCTGGTTTATTTCACTATAGTGCCTGGGTAATGCTTAAACAAATAAGTGTGACTGACTCTGGCTGATATTTAGGTTACTCTCTGCAAAAAAAAAAATCACTGTATTTTAATTAAACTTCTTCCTATTTGAATCTACGTGTGTTGTATGCAGCAAGTCACCCACACACATATAGAAAGTAACTCTTACTTCGAAAATCTAATGTTCATTTTTCTTTCTTGTTGCAGCGGATCTTCAACTCCTTGGTTTACACAGAGAAAATCTCAAACGGGGAGAGCGAAGTTCAGCAGGTAAGACACCGAGGGGCATCTTGCTTTTCTACAGGACTCCTTCCTGGCAGTCTCCTCCTACTCTAGTCTAGCCTACTTTAATGCCATCTCCTGCATAATGGTGACTCCCTTACATTTCGGGTGCTTAGACAGCATGGATGGTTTGCAGCCATTCCTGGTGCACCTTGGAAGCATTTCCTTTTGCCACGAATATCTTTGACCTTCCCAAATCTAAAAATAACAAAATACGTTTCATCTAATGCAGAAAATAAGCACTGCGGCTTTGGAATCAGACTCCCCATTCTGACATGTGCTTGCACTGTTTGGTCATGGCAAACGGCCTTCTCCCCATCCCCGTTTTGATTGGCAGTTTGTCTGCCTTATGTAAGAGAATTCCAATAGCTGCCTCGTGAAGTTCTGATGAGATCAGGCCAATGAGATCAAAGTCAGCTCATCTTGGTGGAAGAGGGCTCTGGCATGGCAGCAGCTACCACATGTGGGCTTCATGGTGCTTTTTATTCCCTCTTTCTAGACCCTGCTTCCTTTCCTTTCCTTTCTTTCTTTCTTTCTTTTTTTTTTTTTTTTTCTTTTCTTTTCTTTTCCCTTCATCTTCCTTCAGTGCTCTGTGCAGTCCAGATACTTAAAGGCCAGATTCTGTTTGTTTATAGCTAGCTGGCATCGGGCACACTGCCTCCTGCGTTAAGACATGGTGTTGGTGAGCTTGACCATAAATAATTAGCGGAGGGCCTGAGACATGTGGTCAGTAGGAGCAGGCTTAATTTCAGTTAATCCACGGTCTTCATTCCAGCCTGACTCTTGACAAGAAACTTGAAGCTAGGTTTGAAACTTCAGTGAGAAATAGAACCAAGCTACAAACCAGGGCACAGCAAAGAAGGTTTGCACCAGGTAAAATGACAAATGTAATAAAATGCATAATGATGTAAATTCTGAGTTCCTTCTGTCCTTTGATTCATGGGGACAGCTTGACCAGATCTGAGCTTTTAAAGTGCACTCTCAGAAGAAAGGCTTGGCATCAGGGTGAACTTATTATGGGCCAGGTATTTATTTACAGTTGAGTGCTGTGAGCTAAGCTCCTCATTTCCTGTTTAGAGGTGGAGGGGGGCTGTTTTAGTCACTTTTAAGTGGTGATGCGTGCCTCATTTTTCTTAGTTTAGATACCATTCCGGATGAATGGCCTAAACCTGCAGTGATGTGCTAGACTGAGTCTTGTCTTCCTTATGTCCTGACTTTAGCTTCTTCCTGAGAGCTAGAAGGCACTTCGGAATTGCTGACTCTAGACGCGTGGTTATGGACTACGATTTCTACACAAAGCCTGCTCGTTAGTGGAGATGTTTTTTGGTAGACAACTGCCATTTGATAACCCTTTAAAGAATGTGATCTGGGGTATCAGGTTAAGCCTCTTTTCTTGAAGTAACAGATACAGGTTCTTACTGGGCTGTTTCCGAACGTGCAGCTGTTTTGTGTTTTGAGGCTGACGTCATTGCTAAACCGGTTGTGAGCAAGCTTGGAAGCCTTCAATATAATTGTTAGAAAATATAGCAACTGACAGAGCACTTACAGAACACTGGTGGGAGGCCATCTCAATATATTGTGGCCAGATAACCTTCAGAAGCAGACTGTCCTACCGAAGAGGGGGAAACTGAGACCACAGTGGTAAAACAAGTCGCCTGTACTCTTACGACTATTAAGTAGGAGAATGAGTTTTCAGAAGTCAGTGTGGCTCTAACACATGGTGACTGCTCTTTTTGACCATTTACTTTATTGTGTGCTTTCACGCAAACCGGACATCTCTGCTGTACTATCTTCACCTGAAAACTCCACCTGACCGAGAAGTCCTTGTTTGCTCCACCTGCCTGTCAAACTGTTCTTTGCTAAGTTGAACCAAGATGTACTTACCTATGACTGCTCCAGCGCATCCCCCCCACCTGCCAGAGCTCCCCAAGCAAAGAGGGTCTTATGTCTTCTCTCTAGATAGGAGAAAATTGCCCCATTATTGTTTTGCCTAAAATTTAATAGGCACAAGTCCTGAAAAGTTGCTTCTATATCTTGATTTGTAGACCATCTCAGCACTGTGATCCATTTAACAATGATGAAAGTGCACGGTTGTGCGTTTACTGGACAATTTGTCACTTCCCTGAGATGATTCACCTATAATTTCCCCCATTTTATAGTGAAAAGACTCCTGATTAAGAACTAGACACAGTGGCTAGAGAGATGGCAGAGCAGGTAAAGTCACTTGCCCTCTTAGCATGACCTTCTGAGTTTGATCTCCAGAACCCACACAAAGGTAACAGGAAAATTCCTTTCAACAACTGACTCAAATCTTATTTGTCTTTTCTTCCTTCCTTCCTTTCTTTTTTTCTTTCTTTTTCTTCTCTCTCTCTCTCTTTTTTTGGGGGTGGTGGTGGGGTGGCTTGCTTTGTTTGTTTGCTTGTTTCTCTGAGACAGGGTTTCTCTGTGTAGCCCTGCCTGTCCAGGAACTCATTCTGTAGACCAGGCTGGCTTTGAACTCACAGAGATCTGCCTGCCTCTGCCTTCTGAGCACTTGGAGCAAAGGCCTGTGCCACCATGCCCAGCTTCAGTCAGATCTTAGGGAGACATTTTCTCATTTGATGCTCCTTCCTCTCCAATGACTCTAGTTTATGTCGTTTTCATAAAACTGTCATGCACACCCCCAAATTAATGTTTAGTTTGACTGCTTTTGTTCTTGACATGAATTTTAAGTGTATTGTTTCTACTTGTGTGTCTTGCTGCTTTCACTCCGTCGGTTGTTTAGGAGCACTGATGGTATCTACAGTTAGATTCATTATAATGTTTAATTCTATGGTATTGCAGAACATGTCGTTTATGGATCCACTTCATAATGGATTTTTTTGGATTGTTTCTGTTGTATTGTTTTTTGTTCACATTTCCACACAGTTTGGATAGGCTAAGTTCCTTTAACTTGTTTCTGCCACCATTTCAATGTTTTGTACTATGTTTGTGTTTCCATATGTTTCCTAGCCCTGAGAGGAGGCAGGGCAGGGAGGGCCTGTAGGATTTCACTGGAAGATCACTTGCAAGCTCAGTCTTGAGTAAACCTGACTCATAGAGGTAGTCTTGGGTTACTCTCCTAGGATAGAGTTGTAGATTTACTTAGGTGTTCAGTTCTTGCTAATTTCTGTTTTTTATCTTTTGCCAAGTTGAGGTATCTAAAAGGCTATCTTAGAAGTTAGTTGAGCCAGTCAGTGGTAGTGCAAGCCTTTAATCCCAGCACTCAGGAGGCAGAGGCAGGTGAATCACTGAGCCATTTCTCCAGCCCCTGAGTATATTTGAAGGATTTTTTAAACAAATGTTTTATGTGCATGTGTGTTTTGCCTGCATGTATGTCTGTGTACCACTTGTGTGCTTTGAAGCCAGAAGAGGGCATCAGAGCTCTTGGAAGTGGAGTTACAATTTTGAACTACTGTGCCGGGGCTAGGAATTGAACTCAGATTCCCTGGAAGAGCAGCAAGTACTCTTAATCATTGAGACATCTCTCTAGTCCCCCTGGTTGTACTATTACAAGTGTTAACATCTGGTGAGGCAATGCCACTCTGTCCATTTACACTTCTTGGTTTTCTGTGTGGTTTCCCATGCTAGTCAAGTCCTAAGAACATCTCTGTCGTTGGTGTTCAGCCCTATAACCAGAGAGGACGCTCAGGGTCTCCAGCTCCTGCACAAACTCTAGGAATGAAAGCAGATGTTGATTGGCACTGGGTTTCTGCCTATATATCCTACCCTGAGGACACAGTGTTCCCCACAGGAATTTTATTTTCACTGATCCCATTGTCCTCTTCATTTTAGAGATGATTATAACTGATTTGAGAAGGGGAAAAATAGGTTGGTTATTGAAAACTGATTATTGACCTTTCGGTTCAGTTTTAGTTATTTATTTTTTTAAGACAGTGTCATAGAGCCTCGGGTGACCTCAGATGTTCTGTGTAGCTTAGGATGTCTTTGAACTAATGCTTCATTTGCCTTTACCACCTGAGGGCTGGGATTTTAGGAGGCTGTCACTACACTCCGTTTTATGCACCACTAGCAGTTGAGCCCAGGGCTTCATGCTTGCTACACAAACACTTTACCCCCGAACCCTGTCTCTTGCTCCTTTGCTCCCAATTTTAACTCAGTCTTTAAAAGAATTACTGTATTTGGAGTGCAATGATGTTTATGCACACATGTGCAAGTATGTGCGTGCACACGCTCACACACACCACACACACACACACACACACACACACACACACACACACACCAGTGTCTAAATTCTGCCATACATTCTCTATCACTTTTCCTTTAAGAACACTACAGCCCATGGATTCTTGTTGCCTGCTTTTGCTAATAAGATCTTCTCAAGAGTCATATCTTATTTGTGCACATCATAGAACTGGGCAGGAAATCTCATGTGTTGTTAATAGCTTTGGCTAAGGGAGCAAAGTAATTAACACTAATAAAAAACATTTCATGATTCTTGACTCTTACCACAAGATTCTCTATGGCGTACAGTTTTTCCTGCTTTTACCCATTATGACTTTTGCATTAACCCTCAGAGCCTGGGTCTAACTTGCTTAACAGTGTGTTTTAAGTTTTTGATTAATTTGCTGTATGCAGTTTTCTTGCAAAGAGATGGTGGCAGCAACCTCAGAATGAGAAAATTCTACCTCACACTTCCTTGTTGGGGGGGCCCTCTCATAGATGTACACTTTGAGTAAATCAAGGCATTGAGTGGTATGCACACATAAGGGCGTTATGTGTGCTTGAATCTAAATCAAGAAAAACAAATTTTTGAGGAAGTGGTCCCAAAAGTAGCAAAATGAGCTTCCTAAGGGCTAAACAGAGAAGAAGAAACAAAAGGAGACAGAGCTTCTGGGGTGCTGGCTTCATCCTCTAAAGGAGCCAGAGTCACCTTGGACTTTCTTCAAGGCTTCAGTCCTTTTTCTCAGTTGCTTCTGTAACTATTTATATTAATAATTGACTTA